GGGGGGGCAAGAAAAATATCACCTGACAGTCAAGTCAGGGGTGCAAATTTAGTTTTTCGACAGATCTACAGAGGTGGCAAAAGTTTTCGCACTCTCTCTTGAGTATAAGTACAGATCCTTACGTAAGAGTAGAAGTAAAAAAAATAAAAAAATAAAAATGAGTTTTAAATGTCAATCATATAAATACCTGTTTGGTATCTTGGTACAACAAAAACAGTATATAATTTTCCTCGTCTATTAAAATTCTAAATTTTTTTTAACCAAAATAAAGTTTTGCTGATGTCACTCAGTAGACCAAAAAAAAAAAAAACGTAGAACAAAAAATATACCGTTTTTTTTTTTTTTGTTGTTTGTTTGTTTTTTTGTGTGTGGTGGGGCCAGAACAAATTCATGGATAAAAAAAAAAGATTTGATAAATACGGTGAACTCCTGACTAATACCAAAAATCTGCAAGTCACGGATTCCTTCCAAAATCAAAACAGGGGAGTTTTCAGCATCCCAATCAGTCCGCGGATGCCGACCTGCAAATATGCAGCGACGGCATCCGACTTGCAAGTCAAAGTGCCAGTGTACTCACCGCAACGTCGAGAGAGCCGAAAAATCTCGCCCAAGTACGGGAACGTTTGTTGCCACCGACGCCGTTTGCGTCTCTTCACAGCCTTGAATCCGTCCGGAATCCTCATGGAGCAGGATGTGGAGAGCCCGGCCCTCAGCAAAACCTCCAAGTTCCACAAGGCGGGCGGCAAGGATCTGCCCAAAGAGCTGGCGGCGATGGACCGGGCCCGCAAGGTCCAGCGCTACGTGCAGAAAGACGGCAAGTGCAACGTCCACCACGGCAACGTGCGGGAGACCTATCGCTACCTGACGGACATCTTCACCACCCTGGTGGACCTCAAGTGGCACTTCAACATCTTCATCTTCGTCCTGGTGTACACGGTCACGTGGCTCTTCTTCGGCTTCATGTGGTGGCTCATCGCGTACCTGCGCGGGGACCTGGACCACATCGCCGACAACCTTTGGACTCCCTGCGTCAATAATCTCAACGGCTTCGTGTCGGCCTTTCTGTTCTCCATCGAGACGGAAACCACCATCGGTTACGGCTACCGGGTCATTACGGACAAGTGCCCCGAGGGCATCGTCCTGCTCCTGATTCAGTCGGTGCTGGGCTCGATCGTCAACGCCTTCATGGTGGGCTGCATGTTCGTCAAGATCTCGCAACCCAAGAAGCGCGCCGAGACTCTGGTGTTTTCCACCAACGCCGTCGTCTCCATGAGAGACGGACGCCTGTGCCTGATGTTCCGGGTGGGGGACCTACGCAACTCGCACATCGTGGAGGCCTCCATCCGGGCCAAGCTGATCAAGTCCAAGCAGACCAAGGAGGGCGAGTTCATCCCCCTCAACCAGACGGACATCAACGTGGGCTACGACACGGGCGACGACCGGCTGTTCCTCGTGTCGCCGCTCATCATCTGCCACGAGATCAACCAGAACAGTCCCTTTTGGGAGATCTCCCCAGCCCACCTGGCCAAGGAGGAGCTGGAAATTGTTGTCATTTTGGAGGGCATGGTCGAGGCCACGGGTAAGTCGGCGCGAGTGCGAGAGATACGCGATACGCGATACGTTTTGGCAATAACACTTTACGGGACTGACGTCGGCGGAGGTACGGGCCAGAAAACGCCAGACGGTCGCCGATTGTCCGATGAGGGGTCGATTGGCGGACTGACGGATACCGGACAGAATGCTTGAAAGGTGGCTAGGGGACCGAGGCGGGTGGACAGGCTGACAGATGAGGATGAAGGGACCGAATAAAGAGATGGCGACAAAGATCGGGTCGAGGCGCAATTGGACGGACAGATGACAGCGGCCGGCGGACGCATGCGATGGATTGTTTGCGGACTGACGGATGGACGGATAGGCTGACGGACAAGAGCCGTGACCAACAACCGCGGACGGACAAACCGGCGGACGAGAAGAGCCAGACTGACGCTTGGCGACGGACGAGCGGAAAAGCCTGACGTGAAAACGGGCGGACGGACTGACGGGTTAGCAGATAGGAAGGGACGTCCACAGATGCGGTCGCCGCCAATCCTTCCCGCTGTTCCCAGGCATGACGTGCCAGGCCCGCAGCTCGTACGTGAGCAGCGAGATCAAGTGGGGCTACCGCTTCACGCCCGTGCTCACGCTGGAGGACGGCTTCTACGAGGTGGACTACAACAGTTTCCACGACATCTACGAGACCAACACGCCCGCCTGCAGCGCCCGCCAGCTGGCCGACATGAGCGGCCGCGCCCGCCTGCCTCTCACCTGGTCCATGGGCAGCAAGCTGAGCCAGCAGGGCCTGGCGCCCGAGGCCGAGCGCCGAGACTCGCGGACTGCTGAGCGCAACGGAGACGTCGCCAACGCCGAGAGCGAGTCCAAAGTGTAGCTCCTGCTCCTGCTCCTGCTCCTGCTCCTGCTCCGCGACACACACACTTGCGGTCGCACCCACCGCCAGATCCCTCTTATTTTTTCTATTCCAATCTTCCCGTTAGGGACGTTTGCATATCAAGTATTTTTGTACATAATCTGACATGTTTTGGGCTCCTCCTGGTTTCTTGGGTTTGCCGTGTGAATATTCGAGGGGGATGTTTGACGCTAACGCGCCGGTTTAGCTTAGCCCTGTACATAATCTATGCCTTACTTCGGCCTTGTCCGACGCGAGCAAACTTCTGTCTCCGAACATTCAAAAACGGTGTGATTGCGCCATTGGAAAAAAATAGATCAGAAAACGACGGTCGCCATTTTGCGACACGCCTGAACGATTTGTTCCTGGAATTGATGTTTCCGTTTCAGTGGCACACGTTGCCGGAAACAAACGTTTTGTTTGACACCGCGTCGGGTTGTCTCACAGTGTGCACGCGCGACCCAAACGAAAGCAAACGCGGTGTTTGGTGACGTTTGCTCGTGTCGGCAAGGCTTTCACCGTCCACCCACCATCGAGCTTTTATCTTCTTGATTTTCCTTCCAGAAATGCACACGAATGCAGCTGCACAATCGAAGGAGATCCAATGACATCATTTCACTTTTTAAAAATGTCTAAACATTGAAAATGTCAATCTCTCTCTCTCTCACACAAAATGAAAAATACAGAAACATTAAAAATAGATATGTACTTTGAGAGAATTTAAAAAAAAGCGGTCTTTAGTGGATTCACACACAATACACTGATAAATGATTACAGTTACAGGAAATAGAAATGGAAAAAAATACGTCTCCTGTAGCACGTAATAGAAAACATGTTCTGATATCTTGATGTGAGAGGGGAAAACACATTTGTAATATTTTTGCTTAACTTCAGATCAAAACATGAGCGAAAGACTTTCAAGTCTAAAATTCTAAAGTACAGGTTCCAGTCTTGGTACTGGCCACTTGTATCAGTTGGTGAAAAGAGAGATTTGCGTTGACCATTTTTGGGCATGAGGCTTCTGCACTACTTTGCGACGGCAGTTCTCCTCCCTCACATCGGTTCTCGTTCGAGTGTGCAGGTGTGCCTCATGAAGTGTCCCGTGTGTGCATCAGCATGTACGAACACGAATGAATCCTGTGAGGTGGTTTTGCTTTGTCGTGTCCGCAATCTCCACTTGGAAAAAAAACCCGGCACTTTTTACTTGTCAACTGCGCCCTTTTCTCGCTCTGGCTTGTGTCCACATTCGCACGCTGCGTCCTCCGGAGGCCGCGGTTTCGGACGGATGACGTCACTTCTGGCACAGCTCGACCGCGTGTGGCTTCCAAATTCAAGAACAATACGCGAGCTTAGGTCCTACGATGTCTCCTCGTACAAGTTCCACGGCTGAAAACGCTGCGGAAGTGACGTCACGCGGTCGAAAAAAAAACGCAGGCTTCGGAGGGTGCAGCCTGTGAATTTGGACACAAAGCCTCCCTTTCTGGCTCCGCCGAAAGCGGCTTGTGGTTGCACGGCCGCGCACTCGACACTTCCTGCGGAAAGCCATGACTTTCAACTGCCCTTTAAAAATACAAACCAAGACGCTTTTTCACTTCTTTTGCACATCGGAGTGAGAGAGACAATCGCTGTTGCAGTAAAAGCCCCGAAGCCTGAAACCTTTCACACACACACACACACGCACACACACACACACACACACACACACACACACACACACACACACACACACACACACACACACACACACTCAAGTCACACGTCACCTAACAGTATAATAACAACTATAATAAATAAACAGTTAATTGCATTTCTGTTTTTGTCAGGCTGTGTTATTCAAGTTAATATCATTTGCCTTTTTTAAATTAAAAAAAAACAGCATTTCATTTTGCGTCAACGAGAATTTCATGCCAATGTAAAGTGAAGCGCGGCACGTTGACAAGTTGAAATAATCCGACGCGTGAAATTTCCATGATATTTATTTTGTAGTCACTCCCAGGGGGATTCCACTTGACACCGGATTAAGTACGCTAAACATACAAAGCATCTCACTTGACAAAGCTGGATTCGGGCGTTTGTTGATTTATCCAGCAAAAGACACACCCCGCCCCCCAAAAAAAGAATCAACAACATACTTTTAAAAGCTGATTGTATTTTTTCGAAAACAAAGTAAGTATTCCCACCTATGGACTTCTGTCAAACGGAAATTCCTTCACCCATAATAAAAAACTGCATTAAAATTTCGACTACGATATTACATTAACGATCGTGTATGGCTTCCGGGTTCGCGAACCCGGAAGCCATACGGAAGCCCGCAGTAGCGCAAACTCAACAAAGTCGCGCTCGATAGTACGAAATAACTCTGTCTGCGCCGCTATTTACTCTCACTGGATCCAAAACGGTGACATGTAAGTGACTCTATTGGCATGAGTTTTACTGGAATCGCGAACGATTTTCTGGTTCATGCATTTACATTTACCTCCTGAGTATCGTGGCATCCAAACGGTTTAAATTGTAATGACCGTGGAAGAGAGAGTGGAATGCATCCGATTAGCTGCTCAAAGTGAATTGCTTGTGGCTGGACGGTCAGTCGAGTAAACGAACGTTTCCTGCAATGCTTTACCTGTTATCGTGCTAAAAACCTTCCGTTATCTACACCGCTAATTAGAGAGAAGGCGAGTTCCATAGCGTCAACTTTGGGCATCGAGGACTTCGAAACGTCCCGTGGCTGGTTTCAAAAGTTTGTTGCACGACATCAATTGAGCAATGCTGTGTTGTGTGGTGATCGAGGGGAGAGGTCAAGTTCGACACAATGAATGGGTGGAAAGAAAAGCCACCAGGTCTGTAACTAGTCTCATTTTGGAGCAAATAGTCCTACTTTTGTGACGCGTCTTGTTATACTGTATTTGATTCATATACCTGTACTGTATGCTGCAGTTTTTTTAAATTTCTTAACAGTTTTTGGATCATATATTTTTGCATTTTATTGCTTGTGTTGTTACACGTGTATTTTGTCAACATACCTGCATGTTCATAAAGGAAAATATTAAACAACCACCGGGGTTAAAAATGTTGAGTGCATTTAGAAACGGAAACAAAACATATAAACTAATGAAAATACGAAGTAAGTAAACAGCTTATTTTCTCTCAATGAGAAAATGTACTGAATCACGTGGCCTTTATGGAGTGATACTAAAAAATATTTTAAAATGCGGAAGTTAAATAAAAGTCAAAAATGTCATCAGTTTATTTTAAAAAAGAAATAGCAGCGTTGACTCGATCCCACGTTCAAGTTTGTATAGTTTGGAGTGAGGCTACAGAACATGGAGTGGAGTTAATCACGAAAGCTTAAAAAGAAAAATAAATGGAATGCGTGGACTTGTGTCAAGTTTGTAGCATATTAGTCAGCCAAAACTTGGGCCGCCAGATCTTTGGGGGGGCAGCTCATTAGCGTCGGCATTGTCTGTGACGGCGGGCCGACTCAGGGTCAGCGGCTGTTTCTCCAGGGCGTCCCGCACCTCCCGCCGCACGCTCTCGGACCATGCCGGCAGCTCAGCGTGCAGCTTGCGGGCCGCCTCCATCAGCGCCTCTTGGCGGGCGTCCAGGTCCGACAGGAGGTCCAGGTTGCGCCGGAGCTGAGCCAGCGCGGGGCTGGTGGCCGCAGGATCCGAGTCCGCGGCGAGGCGGCTCCGGTCGAACTGCGGCGAGGCCTGGCCCGACATGTAGGACTGGAACTCCTCCGGGGTGAGGTTGAGGGATTGGGCGTCCAGCTTCTCGATGAAGGCCGCCGCGCAGCACTGGACGGAAAAAAAAAAAAGAAGACAAAGACGCATGTTGACACTTTGGAACGCTCTTTGGGAGAATCTCACCTTCGGCCGCCATCTTTGGGAGTGGGTTGCATCATCTTTGCGGCTATTCTGTTTGAGATGTCCGATCATGTCTGTGGATTGTTTTTTCTTCCTTTTACATCCTGTCCATCATACTTGAAGACTTTTTATTGGGCATCATTTCTGCCATGTTGCAGGATTTTATTTCTTACATATTTTTTTTTAAAACATGTCTGCCATTTTTGTGATTTTTTTTTTTTTTGTTCTGGCATCAGACCATGCTTGTGGATTACAATCGTAGGATTTTTCTTAAAATCATATCCACCATGTTTGTGTGTGTTTTTTTTTAAAATCATAACTATCATAGTTGGGGAATTTTTTTCAACATAGTGTCACACACGGTTTGTGATTTAAAAAAAAAAAAAAAAGTGTTATTTTTTTTGTTATTGGAACATCATATGGTGGAGTGCGTAAATTTTTCAAAAGTGCCGGTTCGCCTTCCCTTGCTCCAACTCTCCCCTGACTTGCTTTCCCTACCCTGCGCTGGCTCACATGACCAGGGCGTCAGCTGTCCTGCAGCCTTGTCTCCGCGCGACAGAGTCTGCGGCGCAACGGTAGCGCGCCTGACTCCAGATCAGAAGATTGCGTGGCCAAATCACGTCGGGGTCATTCCTTTTAAGAACGCACATATATCGTGGGGAATGCTAAACCGGCGTGAATAGCTGAAAGTACGGAAAGAAGGCCGACCAGGTTGGTGAAGTAGTAGCCGTCCTCGCCGGTCATCAGCCTGCTGGGGTTGCAGAAGCGTGTGATGTACTGGATGTTGGACTGCAGTCTGGGCGGGTTGGCCTTGAGCACGATGTAGATGAGCGCGGGCAGGAAGTCGTCGGCCGACGCCGGCTCACGCTTGGTGCTGCCGATGGCGGCGAAGATGTGCTTGCTGCAGCGCGTCACGCACGCCAGCTTGTCGCGGGGCACCTTCTTCGAATCCATCTCAATGATGTCTGGAGTGGGGACCAGAGGTGGGGGGGGGTGTAGACTTTAGCGAGGGGGAAGGTGTTAAAAAAAAAGGAAGGCGTTTTTTGTTGCTGTCGATATTGAAAATTGAGCTCTCAACCTCTTCTCTACACGTATCTTTGAGACTACTTTTTTTTTTTTTTTTGAGACCGATACCAGTCCAAGTGATCAATCACCCTTTGAGTACGCTCCGGACCGATGGTTGTTTTGGTTTCATTTAACACAATGATAAAAAATTGTGTCCAAAGACTTTTCTTTCTAGTGCAGATGAAGATTCGCCGATTTGTCAATCTGCCGCAGTACAATGCCAACTACTGTGTGTGGCGTCTATTCCGGCTCATTTGAGTAAACGGGGGCAATTATATCGCAAAAGAAGGGGATGAAAAGCGCCACAGGTACCCGTGATGGCTTTGACCACGCTCTCGGAGGCTTCGGGGATCTCCTCGTCCATGGGCACACAAAGCATCTGGATGTTGACCCAGTGGAGGGCTCTGCAACGCCAAGCGCAACCCAGCGTCCGGTTGAGCCGCGCAAACGTCAGCGAGCGCAGAAGACGGGCGACGCGCACCTGATCCGGTTCTGCATGGCCAAGTCCTTCTTCTCGTCGTCGGTGGTTTCCGGGCAGAAGACGCTTTTGTACAGACGGGTCATGATGTACTTTTCCACCTGGTCCATCACCTGCTCCACCGACTCGGACGAACCTGGGGAACGCCACAATCCCGCCTCGGTCACTTTTTTTTTTTTTTTTTTTAAACGGATGAGAAGTCGTCCAGGACTCTCCCCACCTTTGAAGTGACTCGTCAAGCGGTCGGCCAGGCCCTGGTAGAAGTCCTGAACGCACTCTGACACTTCTTCTGCGTTCAGGTCCTGAAACAAACCGGTTCGTGCGATGAGCGTGACGGCCATATTTCTGCCACTGTGTGGAATGTGTCGCAACGTGTCCGCCATGTTTGTGGAATGCGTTTGCAGCATGTCGGCCTCGAAGGAAGGACTTTTTTCCTGAAGCGATCACCTTCTTGCTGGACATGCTGAGCAGGAAGCTGCGGCACTGCTTGTGGATCTCTCGGCCGGGCCGCTGCATGCTCTTCAGGAAGTCCGCAAAGTCTTTCGACACCTGGTCTGAGTCGAAGCTGGCATGGCGACTCGTGGACGGGCTGCTCGTCTTCACCTCCGGCGAGTCTGATGATGAGGTTTTTTTACCATGACATCACACAGACTGCTTTTCAGTAGGGAAGGAATTAAGTCAATTGACGAAGTCATTCTAGCACTGTGTACTGTATTTGAATGTTCTCCTTTTATGTTGTCCCAGCTGGTTCCAATTGTACCTTTCTTGGAAGAGGTGCGCGACGACGGGCTGAAGAACTTCTTGACGGTCGTCACTTTGCGCGTCTTCTCGTTGGTTTTCTTCTCCTCGAACTTGGAAAAGGGTCCGAGCGAGGACTGGGACTGGGACGAAGGCGGCGTGGACTGGGCCTGGGCTGGAGCGCCGTGACTGCTGGCGAAGGCGGCCGCTTCCTCCTCTCGCTGCAACCTAGCAAAATGACACAGCGTAACTTTCTTTGCTTAGGACCACTGCTCCTCAAACAACATGCAGCCCCAAAAATGAACAGCTCACTTTGAATTAACAAAAGGTGAAGTTAAAAAAAATACAGAGAGAGAGACCACCAGGTAGCAACATTTAACTGGACCACACACACAAACACACAAATACAAATATTACTTTTCGGCCAAGGCCCAGTCATCCTGGATCTGCTTCTGGCGCACCCGTTGGTACTCCTCCCTCCAGCACTTGGAGCAAAGGCCTTGCCAGGCTGTGTTGCCATAGTAACCGCATCCCTTCTTGCATAGCAGCTCCGATTGGTCCACGTGGATGCCACGACGCTCCGTCTTCTGACTCATGCTGCGAAAAAGAAAATTATTATTGGGTTTGTTGGGGTTTTTTTTTTTGTGGTAATTTGAAATTCCGCAAGCATGCAAATGAGGGGGAAACTGACCCAACCCTGACGTGATTTGAATGCAAAACTTGATCTGGAGTCAAACACGCTACCAGAGTCCTGCAACTATACCGTATTAAGTAACTTATTTTATTTGTCCAAGCACAATCCAGAAAATTGAATTAACAAAAGGTGAAGTTAAAAAAATAGAGAGAAAGAGAGAGAGAGAGAGAGAGACCACCAGGTAGCAACATTTAACTGGACCACACACACACACACACACACAAATACAAATCTTACTTTTCGGCCAAGGCCCAGTCATCCTGGATCTGCTTCTGGCGCACCCGTTGGTACTCCTCCCTCCAGCACTTGGAGCAAAGGCCTTGCCAGGCTGTGTTGCCATAGTAACCGCATCCCTTCTTGCATAGCAGCTCCGATTGGTCCACGTGGATGCCACGACGCTCCGTCTTCTGACTCATGCTGCGAAAAAGAAAATTATTATTGGGTTTGTTGGGGTTTTTTTTTTTGTGGTAATTTGAAATTCCGCAAGCATGCAAATGAGGGGGAAACTGACCCAACCCTGACGTGATTTGAATGCAAAACTTGATCTGGAGTCAAACACGCTACCAGAGTCCTGCAACTATACCTTATTAAGTAACTTATTTTATTTGTCCAAGCACAATCCAGAAAAACCTCACAGCCATCCCACAAATTGCAAAAAATCCTGCATTAATGCCACAAGATGATGGCAAAAGACTACTTTTGTCTGAAGAAAAAAAAAATGTATGGGGAACCTTTGTTTCACATTTTTCTCCAACAGATGCTGTCTTCATGCTGCCGTTAAGTGACAGGACGCCCCGTTTTGGGCATTTAAGCGTTGCTATAATACGCTGTGATGTACTGAGCAGCATTCTCGCCCCAAATGCATTGAGCATGCAAATGAGGGGGAAACTGACCCTACCCTGACGTGATTTGAATGCACAACTTGATCTGGAGTCAAACACGCTACCAGAGTCCTGCAACTATACCGTATTAAGTAACTTATTTTATTTGTCCAAGCACAATCCAGAAAAACCTCACAGCCATCCCACAAATTACAAAAAATCCTGCATTAATGCCACAAGATGATGGCAAAAGACTACTTTTTTTGTTAAAGCGGGGAACTTTTGTTTCACATTTTTCTCCAACAGATGCTGTCTTTATGCTGCCGTTCAGTGACAGGACGCCCCGTTTTGGGCATTTAAGCGTTGCTATAATACGCTGTGATGTACTGAGCAGCATTCTCGCCCCAAATGCATTTTTAACTTTGCCATTTTAGTATCTACAAGCATTATTATGTTGCAATTACACCTTTGGTGGCATGTCGCTAACGTTAGCCCCATGCAGCAGCTAAACCGTGTAGGACCACCATTAGGACAACTGCATCCCGTGCAAACGCAAGTTACTTACTGCAAACCGTCCATGTGAAGTGCTCACCTGTTTTTTTTTTTTTTAACGCGCAAATGTAGAAGACCTTCTTTTCTTTCAGCTACGATAGCGGGCAACTGCGCGACGAGTAGCTTTTTCGAGATTCTTGTGGTATGGTCGCAAGTTTAAAGAATGGTCCAAAAAATAAAACCGCAGGCTGTTTTTAATGAGAAATGTAGCAGGAGGCGCGCCATTGTACTTATTTTATTGGGTCCATCAGCTTTCAGACATGGGAGGGATTTGACCATGACGTCACGGGTCGCCGGAAAACGTTGGGACCACGGGGTCACGTGATTGTCGGCACTTGTCGGGTGTCTTTTTCGTTTGGATTTTTTTTCCTCTTCTGCGGTTTGACGAAAGAAATATGAATAATTCTACAGTACAACGAGGATAGAGTCGTAACGTCAAGAAAACAACGCGTTTAAAAAAAAAGAAATGTCGTGTAACATTTCAATGTATTTTTATCTGTAATGTCAACGTTTATCGCAAATTATACCATGAATCTACACTTCTAAAATTACGAAAATTTTTCTTGTGAAAACTTTTTCGAAAAAAAGACACTTTATTCCCATTTTCCTTCAAAAAAAAATCCCCAAAATGGCAGTCAGTACACGCATGCGCAGTATAGAATACGAAAAACGAAGCACTTGTTTTTTCGTTTGTGTGTTTTTAACCAAAAGATCTACCGACAAGAAACTACCAGTATGAAGTGGCAATGTTAAAAAAAAAAATCTGAATTTTTCCAAGGAAAGTAACGTTTTCCACAGTTAGCGTTCTCCTTTAGAAAAATATGGCAAGTCTGTGCATTATCTTATAAAACATAGCAAATCGTTACTGGTTGTGTGTTTTTCTGACCTTTTTAGTTTACAATATCATAACTACGCTATCGCTGCAATTCTTTTTGTCGCAATCTGGCTGTTTGCATTGGTTTCAAAAGTGTTTTGTCTCCAGGTAGTCAAAGGACTCACTCTCTGGAGCAAGCTTAGCCTACACCCTGAGAAATGCACCTTCCAATTTTGGCCACTTTAGTGTGCCTTGTGGCTCGCTGCGAGTGTGTGCCCATCACGGAGAAAAGGCAAAAGAGTGAGGGGGGGAAAAGCAGTATTCGGGCACTTCCCACCACTGTTTGCCGCTGGACTTGTGTGACGTTCCAATGGCCGACCGGTTGAGCTGACGTCACTGACTGTAAGTAAACACACACAAGGTCAGTAATACTGCGGACTAAAACAAGCGTGTTATTACACACAGGCAGTCAGCCATGATCCTGCTGGAACCCGGTCTGTGTCTTCCCTCACAGGCGACCGTCCAGGAACTCTTTGCGGCGGCCCGTGACGCCAACATGGTCCCGAACATCTCCCTGGACCCGGTCCTCAACTCTTTCCTGTCTCTGGACTCGTCGGCCGCGCTGCAGCACCAGTACTCCTCGCTGCAGAAGAGCCTGAGCGAGGAGCAGCAGGCGGCGTTGGGCCTCCATCTTAACCAAGAGCTGGGAGGCGCCAGGGTCACGCACGGGGGCGTCGGTGTGGTCGCACTGGCTTTGTCATTGCTGTTGGACCACGTTGCCCAACAGGTCGTTTTTGTTGTAATATTACAAAGGATTTTGTGAGATGACTACTAGTTTCATACTTGAAGGTAATTGTTTTGTAAGATTGTGACTTTAATTTTCAGATTTAATGCTAATTCACACATTTTGTTGATTTGTCTCTCGGGAAGGTACGATGGTGACATCTGCCGAGAAACAAGTGGTCTCACAAGCATGCGAAAAATAACGATTCTGAATTCCGTTGAGACGACTAAGCTGTATTTTTATTCCTTCATTAGGTGAGGGGCAACAGTTCAGGACAAGCTGGCCAATGGTCTCTGACAAAACCGCCCAAAAAGATTTTTGGCCTCGCAATCTCTTCACGAATCGGCAGTATTGCGCACAACTACCTGCGCTCGATCCCGGGCCTGGCCAACGACCAGGACACGATGGCCGAGACCACGGAGATCTACGATACCTGGCTGAATTTGGAAATGCTGGACCATTACCAGAGGATGACCAAGAAGAAGAGGATGAGTTCAGTGTCCATGCAGCAGTGGTTAACTGGAGCCGCGCTTCATCTCCATATGAGGATACACCAGGTCAGTCAACATTTTGGGAAAATGTATTTCCTGCCATATCGATTGCAGTTTTGCTTTTTGTTTGAGCAGGTTCGTCTTCATTCTGTGCCAATTGGGTCGGTGGAGTCTCTTCGGTTGTCCTACAAGACGGCGTTAAACCGCCTGGTGCAAGGTTACACCATCTACCTCCACAGAAACATTTGGGAGAGTGCAGCATCTGCACCACAGCGTCGCAGTAACGGTACCTGCTCCAGTGGGTGGTGGCCCTTTAACGTCAGCCAGGCGGAGACGTTCAACGAGACGAGCTACGGTGGAGCTTGTGAAACTGATGAAGTGGCTTCCAAAGAGGGCCTGCTGGTCATTGAGCTGGGCAGAAATGTCAGTCACAACGTGCTGCATCACCCCTGCGAATCTCCGGCCATCCAGCGAGCTTTGGTGACGCGCATCATAAACGCACAAGACCTGGAGCACAGCAGAAGCTTTTTCTTGCTCTCCAAAAAAGTCTTACAGCAACTGCTCGCACAGGAGGATGCTTTTGAGCTCAGTCCAGTCTAGATGGGTATGGAACTTTTTTTTTTTTTTAATGTACTGTTTGGAAGACTGGCCACAGAGCCCAATCACAATATTTTTTTTTGTGGCCATCGTACAGTTAATTCAATTTATATAGTTCCCTTTTTGTAGGTTTTATACAATAAGATAAAAGAGGCGAAGCTTGGCAACAAAGCAATAGTCCTTTAATAACAACAGCACATAACTGAGTGTTCAAAAAAGGTTCATCACAATTATATAGAGTAATAATTGAATATTGTACAAAGCAAGTGTCATATGCAACAACTTGTGGTATGTGAGCTCCCTTTAGTGTTTAGCAAAAGAATCACCGCCCAATTACATTTTTGTGTCCTATACAAGTTAAGTCAATCCTTTATTACACACAAATATATATTTAAGCCTAATGTAAATGTTCATCAAACTCTGCATGATGTTACAGTGGCTTACAATAGTACGAAATATACATTTTAGTAATAAAACTCGTTTTAGATGAACATTTGGGGCTGCTGCTCTACTGTATTTTTGTTCTGTTTTGCTGTATCTTTTTGCTGAGACTGATGTTTTTTTTATCGCATATGAATTTGAAATTTTCCCCTGTCCAACGTGCTTATTAATATTGAGAAAATTGAATAACAGCAGTAATGAATCCCTTTTTATTAGCGTTTATCTGTGATGTAGTGTGGCATATTTAGGCTCCTATGTGATCGCTTCGTGTGTTGTTTTGAGGATGTCAACGTGTAAAAGAGAAAATGAAGACAAAATACATCTCAAATAAGTATTATTCTGTACTTTTTTAAGACTGCTTTTGTCAAGAATATAAAATGACATTACATTTTACTCGGTTCGGAAAAAGAAAAAAAAGGAACCGCTCTGCTCTAATTTCTTGATCGATGCCCCGCGTCACGTACGCTTCGAAATTGAACCCAAACACGCCGTGTGTGACTTGTGGGCGTTCCTTTAGCACAAGTCGTAAATTTGTCTCCCGGAGGAGGGCGACGGTGTTTTTTTTATTTTTGAAAACTTTTTAAACGTGTTGTGTTTATTTCCCGGTGCATGTTTCGTTCTCCCAGAAGCAGACCGGCAGCCCCTGCTTTGGTTGTTTCGGGGTCTGGGCAGATCGTCGACGACCGAAGTGGTAAGAAAGACGCGAGAGCGATTGAGTCAAGACTGTGCGAACTTGATTTTCTTGCCCAGCTTTTGTGCGACAACGTACCAGACAAAAAACAAAAAACAAACACCCATTTCGGGTGCTTCTCTTGTGTTTTCGAGCGAGGCATTAGCCGTCCACAACATGTACAGGCTGCGGGGTTAGCTCAGTTTAGGTGTTAAATGCCAAAGCTAACGCCTCCTAGCTAAACTGCCACATTTCCTAGTTTTCCTGACAATGCAGGCGAACACGTCATTTAGTTATTTGCGTCTCGTATCGACGCGCTTTTCAATGCGAGATGGGCGTGAGATCGATACTCCTTCAGTTTTGTTTCATCGGAAGTCGAGAGACGCTCGGCCTTTGATAATACGTCATCGCGAGTCAACATTAGCCTCATTAGTTTCATTCAACTCTGTCATCACGTATGTTAGAAGTAGAACAAGAAGTGCATGAACAGGAGTAAATCATTCGTCTGTAGTACCGGCCTCCCAAAAAATCTGCATTTCGTAAAGGTGAGACGCAAATACACTGTAATTTTCAGTAAAAAGGGGAATATTGGGAATAGCAACTGAAACTCAAAAATGTAGTTGATATGCCTTTAAAACGCGGTTAATTGAACAACTTTTCAGATTTGCTAAATGTGGATTATTTGTGGTAAATACTCAAAGGCATGACATTTATTATTCATGGTCAAGATGCTCACTATACACAGTGGAAACTTTGACTTTTGTTCAGTTGCACTGTACATTTTATTTCCTAAATGGCTTAAACCCGACCATGATGTTGTTAACAGGTATGGCGGCCATTTCAGACCCGGATTCCGAGTACACGGACTGCGTTGGTGACTGGGTCAAAAACGGCACGTTTTTTGAGTTTGAAACGGTGCGTTGACGAGCATCGGGTGAATGTGTTTATTTGTTTGTCGAGGCTCATCCCTCTTATTGTTTCTTCAATTCTTTTTAGTTGCCAAAATTGCATCCCGGTCATCTTCCCATCTCCATCAATAAAGGTAAATCTGAAAAAGAGCAAACATATCACAGCTGTGGATTTTGTCTTGTCCGTGTAGCGTGACATACTCAACAGTTGGTCGTGAGGCGGCTGGGACGATATGTATTGTGTGTGTGTGTCTTCTTAGACTTTGACTCCTGGCTCAAAATCCCAGTAAATGTCAAAAAAGAGGCGGACATTCAGATGAGACTTTCCCTCTTTTGGATGCCCATCCTGCTGAATGTTGATGCCATGAGCGTCTCCTTCCACTGGGCTATGAACATCGGCTTACTCAACGCACAGTAAGTCAGTTGATGACGAGCTTTCTTCATGGCCAGCTCTTGACGCAAGTGTCAGTCTTTGTGAAAATAAATCGTCCGCATTGAACACCGTTTTATTTTTAAACAAAACATAAAACATTTGGTACATTAAGAAAGGTGAAACAAGTTAAGTCTAAATTCATACATGTTAATATTCTTCTTCTAATTTAATTCTTTTCGAGCAAGTCACAATGTCCCGTTGAGCTATCCTTAGAACACACTCGCGGGTGACTCATGTTGACCTTGGGGCTAACTAGTACACGCTGGCACCTGCACACATTTAAGATAAGATAAGAAAATCTTTATTTGTCTCACAGTGGAGAAATTCCCAATTTACAGCAGCAAAATTATGAAATGGACAAAGTTGAAGACAAAAAGTATATAAATAAATATAAAATATAAACATAAGCATATTAAAAATGGGTGAGTGGGGTTTAGGAATCATTATTATGAATGAATTTTGTAAAATAGTACCATGCCAAGGTGCCCGTGTAACTGTGCATGTGCGCGTGTGTTTCTCCCTCGTGAAGTGACCCGGCCTTTGTGAGTCTGGAGACTCTACGCAAGATCGAAACCATAGAGGCGATTCTGAGAGCTTTGGAGGCTGCAGCTGTAAGTCCAATATTTTTGATGTCTCAGATGGCGGCCTGTTATTGAAATTTTATTTTCCTTAAAAAAAAAAAAAAATCCTGTATCAGTCGGTCCGTAGTTATGACTCTTACTCTGAATGTCGCGTTGACCTTCTTGAGCTGTGGACTGATTGTGTTACATTGGCCAGGCCCTCGGAAAAGATAAGAATGGCGTCTCTCTCAAGCGGGGATTTATATTCTCCTTTCTTGTTTTTTTTTAGTATTTCCAGGACCAATTGCCTCGTCTCGCCTCAATCCATAACAGCTTTTACGAGGTAAATCTGAGGCTGCGCGTGTGTTGTTGCTACTCGATAATCCGGCGCATCCTCGGGCATCGCTAAACGTCCAAGTTCTTTGTCGATCGTTCCACTTGCGAGGTCTTCGCTGTTGCAGCAGAGCATTTCTGAACGCCTCTGTGTTGCGCTTGTGCTTGTGTGTGGACTCAGCAATCGCCAGAGGCTCTCAAAGACGCGATGGAGTGGCTGGAGCAGTCGGGAGAGCCCGACATGCGCTCCCGTGTCGAGGCCCTGGCCCACCAGGCCCTTCGCCACTCTGCTTTGGGCTTCATCTTCCACCAGTGTAAGCCGGCCACACGAAACGCTAGTCGGTCTGTCCGTCTATGTGTCAAAATTTCTGTCTTTCGACAAATAGCCCGATCGCCGTATTTCCATTGTCCCGTTTCAACAAACGCGCTCTTTGTCTCTTTTCAGACATGTTTTACATTCATATGATGGGGATGAGCGTGTGTGGGACGATGATGGAGCTGCAAGTGAAGCCCCATGAGGACGCTCAAGCGGTAAGACTTGATCGCAGGCGCAGAGAATTACGCTCGCGTGTGGTTTCCTTCACCTTTGGAGCCGGGGAATCAACATTAGCTCTGCAGAGTCAGGATTGTTCTCGGCGAATCCAGCACTTTTCTGCAGATTCCTGAGAGGAAGACTTCATTTCAAAATTTTATCTGAGTTTATGAGGGTTTTTTTCTTTTTCTCGCCTGCGCTTAGTTCAATTTCACCGTTTTCCCCAAATGTTTCGTGTTCAATTCCAGTGAGTTGACTTTCCGATGCTTTACCAGCGCACCTATTGTGACGTGCTTTTCATCCAGGCAAGTGAGTACCACAAGAAAGTCGGGAACAACCTCTTTCAGGAGGAGAAATACCAAGGAGCGGCGTTTGAATATACGATAGCCGTCAGATTCAAGTATGTTTTCTCAGCCCCCTTCCTCCCACACAAGGCTGCGTGACTCTAAATCCTCTCCTCCGCCCCTTTGCCCCCCCCATCCCAGCCCTGAAAATCACATCGCCTTCAGCAATCGGGCACTTTGTCACACCCGCCGTCAGAACTACCTGTAAGTACACATCTCATCCTTCTCCTCTCAACATCGGGGTGAAAGTGCAGACATTTTATTCCGGCAATTGGTGTTGATTTTTCACACTGGCACAAATTCCACTCGGAGCGAGCGCAGTCGTTGCCGTATGTGGTCTTTCCTCGAGCGAGTTGCCCCCTCGTTCGGTCGTCCCGAGCTCAGTGCGGAAGTTACGTTTCAGACCCGGCGGGGGCAGGCAAAGCCGTAGAGCTGGGGACCAACCCTTGTTTCACGTGTCTGTGAAATTTGTCATGAACGAGTAGCGAGAACACTGCAGCAGACCGCACACAATCTAAGCCACAGGTGTCAAAGTCAAGGCCCGGCGGTCAGATGTGGCCCACCACATCATTTTATGTGGCCCGCGAAAGCAAATCAAGCATGTCAAGTTCCATGATGCTTGCTAAAGTCTGAACCAAAATTTCAAATTGCCATATGTCATCCACAATAAAACTCGTTATTCTTGATTTCCGTTTGTAAAACGAGTTATTTATCAATATGTTGTGCGCCGTGTACGCAATATGTGGAGGTGATGAAACAGTTATATGGTTTCCCAAAATTCGTAACGGCCCTCAAAGGCAAACCGTAACTACAATGTGGCCCGTGAAAAAAAATGAGTTTGACACCCCTGATCTAAGCGGCAAAAATCTTGGCCCCACTTAAATGTCACCAAACTGCCAAAGATGGCCACCAAAATGTCTGCGGACACGTTCTCTTGTGTCCTTGACATTGATGTGAAATGTTCTATGAAGCACTTTGGTACAGCTGCCGCTCTTGTTATTATTCAACATTTATCATCGCAGAAGTAAAACGTGTGGACCTTAAAATGTGACCCCCTAACCTACCATATTTTGATGATGTTTTTTTTGTTTTTTTTAATACAGAGACGCTGCTGTGGATGCAAAGCGGGCCACTCTGATAGAACCATCCTACACCAAGGTCCGTTTGTCCTCCCCCAGGAGTGAAATGTGCTTCATGCATGGGGTTTTGCAACTTGTTTTCATCTCCTAGCCCTGCAACGAATCTCACTCTCAACAGTAGCAGACCTACGGCCGTGTCATGTTGCGCACGTTGACTTGCGCGCGACTGACATGCTCCGCGCTTCGATTCCCAGGGCCACTATCGCTACTGCGAGGCTTTGTTCCTGTTGGGTGAAGTCCAGTGGGCAGTGAGCGCCAACAAAGAGGCGCGGTTTCTGTGCGCCGGCGACCGGGCGGGAATCAAAGACCTGGAGCAGCAAAATCTGAAGTTTGTGAGCAAAAACCCAAAAGGCGGCAAAGGCAAGAAAGGTGCATTTGTCTGACAGAGTGATTTATTTACAAGCGCGTCTTCCCAAACTCATCCTTTCGTTTTTTCCCCTTTCAGCGGGACCCTGCAAGAAAAAAACGAGAGCAGCTGAAACCATTAAGGAGACTCAAAATTCAATGTAAGAGCATGTTGACCTAAACTAGAGTTCATTTATTTATTGATATAAACATGTGCATAGTTATAAAAACGTTTGACAATGGCGAGGCACTTTTACTCGCCCTTTTTTTCCCCTCCCAGTAAACCAGAGGACACGAACAATTCGACTGTTGTCGAGACGCAGCGGCTGTCAAGAGAAAGTGACGGCAATGGCAGTAGTAATAATAATCATATTAATGGTGATGATATGGGCAATGGGGTGTGCAAGGTATGTAAACCGCGACTGACGCACCCATTCAGTGTGCCAAGTTCTTTGTGATGCTCGTGTTGACCTTTGCAGGGAAACTTACTGGGAATTTTCTTTCTCTTCTTGTAGGTGAACAAGCAGAACCGACCAGGTGTGTCTCAGTTTCGTCATTTGGAGTTAAGATTTCCTTTGTTTTGTGTTTGTCTGTTTCTAGGGTTGGGACGCTCAAAACAATGTTTCGAAACATCATCCCTCATTATTTTTCATGTGTCATAACATTTGTTGAATGATTTACTAGCGTGAAATAACGAGCCATCCAACCGCACGACTTGGTCTGCACTCTGTCGGCCGTCGCACCTCCTCCGGCTTTTTTGACAAAACCCGGGTGGAAAAAAAGGCGCTCAATATTGCGACCGCATCGCAGCGTTGGCCACGCTGACGAGCCGAGCGCAGTTTGTAGCATCTTCTTGACTGGGTTTCATTCAAGGGGAGTTGTACGGCTCCCTGTCATTCCTCTTTCAATCCATCTAAGCTGAGATCCGTCTTAAACGTTCACGCCGCCGATTGACTCACGTCGTCTCCGCAGAAGTCGAGGACAGGACGGCCGGCGCCAAAGAGTCGCCCAAAACTTCAAAGAAGAAATCCACGGCCAGTAAAGACGTAAGGAAGTTTGGTTGTCCTCTAGCGCGACTTGGAATCAAAAGTTCAGACTTGTTAGTGCAGTACTCAGCGTGTGCGTGGTTTTTTTTTTGTTTTTTTTTTTCTCGGTTTAGAACTGGGACAGCTCCCCTGACCGAAGCCAATCCCCCCGAGGTTCTTTGAGTGATGTGTTGAAGATGGCCCATACTTCCTTGATCAAACAGTGCTATTACAACGCCGACACCTTCTTCAGACAAGCGGCAAGCCTGGTCAACTCCTTTACGTCGGACCAAAAGAAGGCACTTCTGCACCGCCGTTGACATTTAATTCTAGAATTCATTTGAGTCATTTGTAAAATGTGTTTGTTTGTTTTTTTTTAATCACCAGATCATTGGGTTCTCTGCGCTGGATATGCAGCTGGTGCTTTACGGCCGTGTGTCCGCCCTGACGGAAATTGGCAAGCCTCAGGTGACATACAGCGCAGAGTCATCAGTAACGGTGATCCCTCACCTATTCACAGCTGAGGCTGAATACGGCCCACCGCCCTCTCCACATTTTGCACGGGCCCCACCTGGACAATACCAGAGATGCATTCTCATCTTTTTTTTTTTAACAGTCTGACCACGTGATCGAGACTCATACATGCATAGAACGTAACATTCGATTCCACGCTTCTGCAGTCTGTGCTCCATCTGACACACCCCTGTCAAATAAAGCGGAATGAGGGCGAGAAGATGAGGTCACAGAAAAAAATGGTTATTATTTATTGACGCCACAAGTATGTGACAAACGTGAGACTGATGACCTGAAGTGGATAATAATTGCATCCCTCGATTATCGTTCTGCAGTTCTTTTGCCAATGCACATCTTCTTTTTATGCTTCCACATGGGTTTATTTTTTTGGTCTTTGCGCAACAGGAGTTTGCAGAAGCACGAAAACTCCTGGAGGAGATCAAATCATACAAGGAGAGGGGTTTTCGTTGTCTGGTTTCCTACGGCTGTGGGAGGATTTACCTCAAAGAGAAAAAGTACAGTCGCCGTTGGCGGAACGGGTTTACGTTGGTCTCGGCGTCGGGAGCGTTTCAACTCAAGTCGATGCTCCCGTTAGGTTTGCGGCGGCGCTGGAACAGTTTGAAGATTCCCTGCAGATGGTGAGGAATCGGATCACGCCGGGGAAACTCACCTGGCCGCAGACCACAGACATCGTTCGAGAGACCGATCTGGACCTTTTTCAAGTAACATTACACCGAAGTCTTGCTCTGATGACATTTTGGAGGGATTCCGCCACTTCACGTCGTATTTTTTTTTTTCCGCTTTAGGAAATTCTGGAGGATTCCATATATGCGTGCAAATTCCCTCCTCCACCCGATGGCACCTGTCGATATGAGGACTGCCTCGCCCCATCCAAAAATATCTACATCACCGACCCGGACTTTAAAGTAAGTCGACGTCAATACGAAGCCGTGGTTTTGGAGCGTGAATAAATTCCGCCACTCCACCCGCAGGGCTTTGTGGAGTTCAAGTGCAGCCAGAAGTGCATCATTGAATACCACAGCGCCTGCTGGAAAGCGTTGAAGCCGCCGTCCTTTGACAAGTGCGAAAAGGTAACATCCCGTCACGAGGCGGCGCTCTTCCTTTTGCCTCCGGAGGACATTTTCCCTGAAGGTATCTACTTACTTTTTTGTGCGCGGCGTGTAGCCGTGTCCGACTCCCGACTGCTCGGGTGTCATCGATTCCATTAAAGTTATTGACGCAACGGGCCTGATAAAACACGTGCAGGGTGCCAACGCAAGGGCGGAGAGCCCGAGGAAAGTCAAAGTCAACCAGAAGCCTCCTACGGGGTGAGGACTCGGCTGTCATCAAGTTACCTGTGATGTTGAATGGAAAAGAAGAACCGGAAACCTTCCGTTCTGAATTCCAGGGTGAAGAAATTGAAGGAGAAGAACCACGGAAAAAAAGAGGAGAATACGAAGACTAAGCAGACCTCGGAAAACAAGGCCAGCGTCAGCGATGACCTTCCGCTGCCCAAAACCGTCACCGCGGCGCAGGCACAACAGAAGGGTACGATCACGCACTGGGCGCTCGCACCACAACCTTGCTTTTTTGTTTTCGTCGCTGCATCGCCGTACAATCAACACTTGTCAGTGCCAGCCCAAGAAAATGAAAATGCCGAGAGACTGCTTAAGTATGGACTTTGAATCACATCTCACAAAACCAGTTTATTCCTTGACTTTGAAAAACGTTTTATACAATACAGTGTCCTTTTCTAAAAAGCGAACAAAATAGTGGTGTTTTTTTTTAGGGGGGGGTGGAACATGTTGATGCCATTTGAATTCATTTTAATGAGCACAATTTGACGTATGATCTTGCAGACAGAGCAAAATTAAACGTGTAAGTCCCATTTGCTTCCCTTTTCCAGCCTGGTGGCTGTACCAAGATCGAGTCCTGGTGCAGGTCAGTCAGATGATGCAGCTGCTCCGCCAGGAAAAGGGTCTCGCCGCGTCGGACGTCAGCCGCTGCCTGAAACCCTGGCTGGAGCTGGACTCGGCGCGGGGCAACCGGCTGGCCGCCAAGATGCTGGACTGGGAGCGGGAGCGCCTGGAGACGCTGGATCAAGCCGCGGAGCTTCTCCTCCAGAGGAAGAATCGCGTTTGGGCGCGCGCCTTCATCCAGCTGCTTTCAAATACTTTGAATATTAACGCCGACCTCAGCCGCTGGGCGGGACGGCTGGACGATGCAGGTCAGAACGCTTTCGTCACCAGCTGATCTGAAAATGCGCTTTCATCATGGAAGCAAGTGTATTACATTTAAAAAAAAAAAAAAAAAAAGAAAATTGGGATTCAAAGGCTGTTTTTGACAAATGCCTTTTCTTTTCGTGTTCTTAAACTCGACTTCCTGTCTTCAAGATCTCAAGGCGGCCAAGTCGTTCGTTGAACGCAATGCAGACCACCTGGATGAACTGGACCTAAGCCCGCTGTTGACCTTTGCCCCTTTGAAAGAGATTATTTCTGACCACGACCCCCCTGGCGCCGACTTGACTTCAAGCAACTTGACTAAATATGTCAAATGGGCTCCGCCGCATGAAATGAGACTTTTTATCTGGACTCTCGAGGAGCATAAAGATGTTAACATCTCGTTAAATAATTTACTCGATGAATATTTTGTTTGTATGATAGGTACGTATTTCCACCTCATATTTCTTGAGATTTTCTTTTTGCCCAATCATCATCATGTGACTTTCAACTATGTTGTTTTTGTTTTTCTCTCCCTCAGACGGACACTGTTCTGTTCTAAAGAAATCCGGTAATCAAAATGTAAGCAACACGGGAGCCGTTCCTTTTCGTCACATGCCGCAACACTTGCCGCCGTCTGTCGCCGATGACAAAACAGTTTTGCCGTGTCAAGTAACACGTTT